TGCTGAAAACGTAACCATACACTCGTAGACGGCATATACACTGTACTGAAGAATTTAATACATGAATGTTTTTATCACTCAATATGAATACGATTCGTAAGAATAGTGCAGAATTCTGTGTATGGATTAGTTGCCAGATTTAGTCCCGTATTATAACACAGAACTCATAACAAATGTTTGGAAAAGAAATTTTATTTTTGGGGAGTTTAGCGATTTCTTTGATAAGCGGTTTAAACATCAATATAAACACGAAAATAAATAATCAAAATATAAACCATAATATAATAAAATTTTAATTTAATTTAAAATATACCATAAAATAAAAATATTATTGGTATAATAAAAAAGGATATAATATTTGTATTTTATAAATAATTTTACAAAGTTTCGCAAATAATAAGCGATGAAATCATTTTTAGAGTTAAGGGTGGAGTGCGGGAGAGGTTAGTCTACATTACAAACATATCAAAAATGTTCAGTCGTTTATACAAAATACATCAGACATATGATTTACACGCAATTATTGCTATAATTAAAATGTCTCATTTTAGATCCACTCAATCAGTTTCGATGACACATTTATTTTAAAATTATATTTAATCTACTTTTCAATTTATATTGACATTTATACTAATTCATATTTTCTGGTAAGGAATGGTATAAAGTTACAAATACTTTTAACATTTTTCATTTCTGCACCACTGTCAATAATTCTGTACTTAATAAATTAATTTTGTTCATTAAAAGTTAACAAATCTTACAAATAAGTATATTTGTTAAAAATCAAACTTTTTTGGTGAATAATAAAATAGTCTTTTAATACATTAACAAATATTTGCACTAAAAATAATGTAAATATTGAAGCATAGAGTATGATCTGATACACCCCTCATAAAACTTATGCATATTCAGTGCCATTCCGCCCAACATTTTCTTATTATCAGATAATAATTACAATTAATACACACAGGAATTGATGAATATTTGCATTTTAAATAATTTTAGACTACATTGTATTCAATATCATGTATGAAAAATTAAGCAAAAAATATAGTCAGAGAGCCCAATGAGCAGCGACTGGCTGTGTGTCTATAACTTATGTTTTTTTGTTATCTCACAAGTCATTAAACATTTATTACATGAAAACCACCAAAAAATAATTGTATCGAAACATTAATAACTAACAAACAATAGACGCGTGTAATAAATGTCAGGCATTGAGAAAAACATATCCATATCTCTCAAGATTTCCTAATAAACCAGAAACCGAGTGCTTATTCAGCCATTACTGTCGCTAATGGGAAGAGATTTTTTCGATAACCACTTAGGAATACAAAAGTTACTTAAAAATATATTTTACATCACTTCGAGACATGTGTGTAAAACTACAGTAAAATTTTAAAACTCAGTGTTTGCTTACCGGCGACGGGAGAGAGTTTTGTTAAGACACACCACCGGAGTCTCCACTTTATCACAAAAAAGTTAAAATAAATAATTAATAATCTCTTAAAGAGTCGACAATTCATTAACAAAAAAACTTTCTCTAATGTAAGCAAACCTTTCGCGAAACTCTTTGCTTCACTTCGCCTTCAATTACCACTCGTTGATCAGACATTGCCTCCAAATATAAAACACTTTTCAGTTTGAAATTTAATTGATTTAAGAAAACTAATTCAATTTCACTGAACAAAAATTAATTGATTAGTTTTGTGTCCAATTTAATAAATTTCAATACATTTTGAACGAATTGAATATATGTTTTAATACACACATCAATACCACTCACACTGACAATGAGTTTAGATGTGCTCTGGTGTCTAAACCCTGAGCCAAAAGGCATGTAATAATTCTTGAGCGCAAAAAATAATCCGATTGGCGGACAGAATATTATGGGTTCTGCCTAAACATCGCTAAAACTTTTATATACATTAGTAGTCTGTGACTCCGCTGTTATTATGTGTTTTCTCTATTAGTAAATAATGCTTACGATATGTCTCTTACTATTCATATTTTGATGCATTAGACGTATTGATCGATATTTGAGTTTTGTATCGATATGTCATTCAAACCGGAATATAACCAGCAAATCAAACAAAGAGGGGAATTGGAGACTGATAGAGAGCACAGGGAGGGAAAGGGAGGGAAAGGTTTGTTTGGTAATTAGAAAATCGAAATCCGAGTCATAGGGAAAACCCGATGAAGTTATTTGATATACAATACTAGCGTCGAGTGCAGAATACAAGCATATATTCTGTATATGATATACAAAATGTTTGCATCACTTAAGTGTCACTTCATTACCGATCCATAATGGGAACGGCAGGTCTGTCTGTTCAGGTAGTGCACAGGTTTGTGTTGTGTTGCTAAGTGTTGTCAACTATTATGGACTCAATGATGGCTATAGACGGGCGCCACCAGAGAGTCCGTGCAGGCGGTCATCACTGAGGCGTGAGTCCAATGAGTCCAACGATTCCGATAGTGGAGTGAAGTTTGGGTGCATTTTATATCAAAAACCAAACTCTAATTCCCCTGAAGTTAAACCTAATGGCAGTGCCTTTCTCTATCTCCTGTGCCTCATATTAAACATGTATATAATATCGCGAGGCATCCAATGGATGATCATTTAGACAGATGTCTACTCTCCTTAACTATAGCTAAAAGCGATTTTTATTACTAATTATGTAAATATTTAATGACATTGTATACTGAAAAACAAATTAAAACATCGATATTCCGGTGAAAATTATGTTATAATTACAATATTTGAGTCCAATTTGTATTGAATCCATACATCCGATGAATATTAAAGCGACAAAACTGTGTTATAATTCACTCAATTTGGCTCCACTAATGTTGTAATTAATTTAATTGCTTTGTATTAAAATTCATACACTTTTCTCATAAACATGAATATAAATTCAACTCATTCATGTTTATAAATTTAGTGTAATGAAAATTGTATGCACCTTTTATTGATTTAAAAATTGACCCAGTATTTTTTAATAGAGTAAAATATTATTATATTTAACTATTTTATACATTAAATACTAATTTTCCAAAAAAATTGAATCAAAATTTATTGAGTCGTATATGTATTCATAACTCATCGGCAATGAAAGGACCGCTCAAAACATGTGAAGATCTCAATGAAATGTCATTTATTATACACTATACCCACTAGTATTCTGTGTCTCTTGATTAAAAAGTCTCTCTCTCTCTCTCTCTCTCTCTCTCTCTCTCCCAGCAGAGTATATTGAATAAAATATTTGTCATAAATCTAATGTCTTTTTCATAAGGCATTGTTAGTTTGAGAAATTGAAAGTCAATATAATATCATAAAATTTATTGAAATTATTATTTTGGCGAAAAAGCAGCAAATTCTGTAAAATTGGACTCAAATTCTTAAATATGAGTCATTCGTGAGTGAATGGAGTGAATGTTGCGCTAAAACACTCTCCTCTCACATAAACCTTCTCCTCAGAAGTGATGCGAAAACTGATAAATACTTTATTTCGGCGAAAGTCTGCCTCAAAATTCAGTTTCTCAGAGAGAATGCATTGAATTGTGTTTTTGTTGAATTGACCCAGTATTTTTTAATAGAGTAAAATATTATTATATTTAACTATTTTATACATTAAATACTAATTTTCCAAAAAAATTGAATCAAAATTTATTGAGTCGTATATGTATTCATAACTCATCGGAAATGAAAGGACCGCTCAAAACATGTGAAGATCTCAATGAAATGTCATTTATTATACACTATACCCACTAGTATTCTGTGTCTCTTGATTAAAAAGTCTCTCTCTCTCTCTCTCTCTCTCCCTCCCGGCAGAGTATATTGAATAAAATATTTGTCATAAATCTAATGTCTTTTTCATAAGGCATTGTTAGTTTGAGAAATTGAAAGTCAATATAATATCATAAAATTTATTGAAATTATTCTTTCGGCGAAAAAGCAGCAAATTCTGTAAAATTGGACTCAAATTCTTAAATATGAGTCATTCGTGAGTGAATGAAGTGAATGTTGCGCTAAAACACACTCTCCTCTCACATAAACCTTCTCCTCAGAAGTGATGCGAAAACTGATAAATACTTTATTTCGGCGAAAGTCTGCCTCAAAATTCAGTTTCTCAGAGAGAATGCATTGAATTGTGTTTTTGTTGAGACTTGTACTCAGAGTCTGCAGACTCTTACAGCGCTCTTACAGTTTATCCCCAAATGATACCGACTTTGAGCGCACTTAGTATTCACAGGCATTGCATGAATGCGATAAAACACAGTGAAGTCGGGCGACAAAAACACATTTGCAAACACCAAATGTGTGTTTAAATCGTATTCACAGACAACCAGCCGATCACATAATATTCACTTTTATATACATCTTTATGAACACAAAAAAAATTCTGAACTATTTATCTTAAATAATATATTATACTTGAATTCAATCCGTAAGCACTCTATTCATAAACTATTTAATATCGAGAATATCCATTCAATATGATGAATGAATAAATGTGAATAAAATCTTAGCATTTGTAAAATCTAAATTAAATTAAATTAAAATCCATTTGTTGTCTCATTTCACTTAGTATTGCTACTAAGGTATTAGAAATTGTGTTATATTTTTGGATTTAATTCGCGAAAACAGTTGCCACTCGTGATTCCGGGGGCCATAACGACACACAAAGCCCAGGGTCACACATACGACAAAGTAATCGTTCACCTGTCTGACAGGACACCCGATTTGGCTAAAATGTATATATATTGATTTAATGATTATTTCATGATTTAATATTGGAGACCTTTTTAAATCAATGTTTTAATTGGATATATGTTTTCAAAGTAATTCAATATAGTCTACAAATTGAATATATTGTATGTGTTTGCATCAATTGAAAGTAAATTTATAATATATGACACAATTGTGCCGCCACTGATTGGTCTGTTTTCCTGTGCTTTCAGTGATATTTGATTGGATTATCAATTCATAGGTCACAATGTCTTCGGATGGACTCAATCGACGTAAAAGAGTTGTCAATAGGAATGGAGACACAAATGAGGAGAACGTGTTTCAAGAAGTGTCGTCCGAAAGACCACAAAAGTATCCAGGTCAATCAATCACTAAAATCCAAATCGTTTTATTTGATTTAATTAAAATATTTGGATTATTAAGTAATCATTATTTGCATAATATTTGAAAAATAATAATTTATATTTTAGTTATTTTAGAAAAATATAAATAATTGAAACATTGAGTTATTACTTGATTTTGATCGGACATCTGGTCCCTTGAGGTATGGTTTCCTTTTAACCACATTAAGGACCCAAAGATGTGGCAGAAAAGGAAACAGTATTTCAGAGAAGAGTTGCCACAGATTTACACGAAGAGCAAGATTATGATTGCAGACATCAATAGTAGCGAAGTGATGGCACTGATTCGGGATCTTCTGGACACCGACCCCTCCAAGAGATCGAGTCTTAAGGATCTGATTGGTAATCATAGGTCTCTTCAAAGCTGTCCTAACATTAGTAGACCACAAGTGGTGGTCGCGAACCGGCCCGCAGTTAGGCCTTAGGCGCGACACAACCACAGAGCACTTCACTGGACGGCCGATTCCCAGTCACTCAGCCATACAATCATATATTAAGCACCCGTTTGGAGTTTAATCAAAGTTTTCATTTCAATCACTTTTCTATTCATTTCAATCAATACTCACTTTTGACACAACTTTTCATTAATAGATTTCATGACAAACACAACACTCGACCCATGGATTCAATGATTTTAAAGTTTATTTTATAACTCAAATTATCATCACTTTTAGACAGCTCTATATTTTTGAATACTTATTATTAAGTTATTCATTTTATTGAATAAATATTTGTTTACAATTATGCTTAAGTAAGATAAATAAAATAGAAATGCTTTAATTTTCATTAACACAATCACAATATAATTCATTCAAAAAATACACATTTAATGAAATCAATATTCATTAGACGTCTTGAAAATTATGTTTTTATATTTCATTTGTTGTGGTTTTCCTTCAATTTATTAATTTCCCTAAAAATATATAACTTTCGGTAAATATATTCAACTGAAATACAATTAATAATAAAACTTATTGTTTATAATATATTAGATTCTCTGAAAATAATCACTCATTAGGTTTTTATCTCCAAATTCTGCATTTGGCACAGAATTGCACCAAAGCTACGGTGGCTATGCTTGTGGACTACGTTTCTGCAGCCGACACCAAAGTCTTTACGGGTTGTACACCTTTGGCCTCCGCCGTAGAGGCAAACAACGCGGACATTGAGATGGCTTTACTCCTAAGGTGTACCATCCTGAGCCCGATGTCTGTGTCTATGTTCTCCAGTATAGATTCCCTCAACTGTTCCTCTATTTACAGAATTTCAGGCCAAGTATTTTAAACTATCTGATAAATTATTTTAAATTGTTTGCAAATCATAAATAAATATACAGTAATATCTAATAGCTTTGACTACGATTAAGAATTTTAAGCAAAACTTCATAACAAATAATATTTTTTCTGATAAGTAAGTTGTGTTATATTTAGTGATTTTGATTATCATTTCTTACAATCAGTGATTAGTACTTAGGAAACAAAGGATTAGATAATTGGAAGCATCATCTCATTTATGGCTTCTTAGAGCTGACTCATACTGTTATTTGTATTGCTGTAACTACGGAGTGTTATTTGATACAAATTCATTTGTGACCACACTTAAGACTATCACTTACTGCCAAAACATGTGGAATGGGGAGGACATCGATGGAGACGCTTACGAGGAAAACCTAGGAATTGAGGCATTTCCGCACGAGTACGACGATATGCAGGGAGCGTCCGATACAGACAGCGACACCAACAGTGCCGACTCGAATTTGGAGGGACGGGAGTCGAGTCATGCAAAGATACAGAGACTGGAGGCATTGATAGTGGGACTGAAGAAGGAGATTAACCGAGTCTACACTTGCGAAGAGGTCTCGAGTAAGAAGCGTTTAGAAATGGTATGCATTTGACCCCAGAGTCCAAGCGTGACTTCGGTTCACAGCTGGAAACCAGTGCCAGAAGAAGGCTATAACCCTTTCATTCAAGTAACTATTGACTGTCTTAACATAGATTGATGAAAAGCAACGAGTGATCAGTGAATTGAGGCGAAATAGCGCCGTAGATACCAAACGGCACGCGACAGCCAGGGCTCAGTGGGAAAAGGAGAGACAGGAGTGGTCCCAGAAAGTGACTGATTTACAAGATGAAGCAAAGGTTGTGATCACTCATCTGAATCGCTTTAAAGGAGAAGCCTTTGATTCGGCGGATCAGTGCAATGATTTGGTGTTTGGATTAAATACATGGGAGGCCATGTATTTAGACCTAGACATAAAAAGCAAGGAACAGGTACGGCGAGTGATTGTATAATAAAATGATATTATTGCTTAAATTTGACGATCATTTTAAACAGGTTTCGCACTTAAATGAAGTGATCGCAGAGTTGCAGCGAAAGGTCGGCCGACCGTCGGAATATCGGGAAAGTCTCGAAGAAGATATACGACGATTGGACCGGGAATTGGAGGCTAAGAAGAAAGAGACCAAAGCGATGAAGCGTAAGCTCGAGAAGAGAAACGCTCAGATGCGGGAGCTCTCGATGAGGATCCGACAGTTGGGACGGATAGATGAAGAGATGCCGAAGACATCATTGAGCCAAGCGGTGGCCCGACTCGATGATGAATACCAAGGCATTTTTGAATCCATGAATAACTTGAGCCAAATGGTAGCCAACCTGAGCCCAGACTAAATGACAGCCAATTAATTTCATTGATTTTCGTATATTTATATTAACTATTATTCGTCAATAGTTTGTCATTAATTTTTTAAATTAAATATTAAATATGAATTGCTTGGTCCGCTTAAAACATTATTAGAATTACAATATTTGAGTCCAATTTGTATTGAATCCATACATCCGATGAATATTAAAGCGACAAAACTGTTATAATTCACTCAATTTGGCTCCACTAATGTTGTCAATCCATAAGGGGTTCGCCGATCGCACAGCAAATGACGTGTTCTTAAGAGTATAATGAAGACAGGGTTCGGCTCCCTTCGTGTGTTCCTAAAAGATGCGGACGTTTTGTGTCCGATTCGGTGATCACGGAATCGGAAGCCAAACACATGTTGTCAGTCGCGAAGAGAGGCCTATCATTGGGCGGCGGTTCGGGCGGCTATTCGGGCCTCAACTTATATACGGGCGTCCTTTCGATGGCAACAAATCGCGTGAATATCTATAAACTCATTGAACGGACGCAACGAAAGGAAGAGGAACTGAAAGAGCTGTTCACCGAAAAAGAGTTAGAAGTCTACAGAACTGTGACGAACAGAATCCACAAAAGGATTGCAATTCATTTCGGCATCTCTTGGGCTCAGCTGTACTTAACATATCCGGCGGTCTTCTTGAGATACACAGCAAACAGCGCCCAAACCAAACGCGACGTGTATTGGCGCCGACACCTCGACAAACGGGACATTAAATTCGTTCACTTCTCTTCTTTGCTGTATTTGTCGACATATGGGACGGACTTCTCCTTTGGACGCTTTGTATTCGCGGACGAGATATTGAACACAACTATTGAGCCTAAGTTGGGAAGAGTCGTGGCGTACACCTCAGGCTCAGAGAACGAGCACTTCGTCGATAGTCACGTCTGGGACCCGATATGCGCTTGACTTGTGCCACAAGATTCACATAAATCTTAAGAATTAAACATTAAATTCAATTGAATTTAGAAATAATATTTTTAATAATTAACTAGTTCAGTAACTGGGTGTAATTACTAACTATTGTCTGGTGGAATACCTATTCCCAAACCTACCCTGACCTATTTCTGAGGACCGCATGAGACTACTGAAGGCACCAACACCTGAGCCCACAGTTCACTGGACGGCCGATTCCCAGTCGCTCAGCCATACAATCATATATTAAGCACTCATTTAGAGTTTAATTAAAGTTTTCATTTCAATCACTTTTCTATTCATTTCAATCAATACTATATTGCATTTCAAAATAAGAAACATTTTTCTTAAATACTATTTTATTAAATGTATAAATGGTTTATACAATCATCAAATGATGTCTTTTCATAACACAATCACAATATAATTCATTCAAAAAATACACATTTAATGAAATCAATATTCATTAGACGTCTTGAAAATTATGTTTTTATATTTCATTTGTTGTAGTTTTGCTTAAATTTATTAATTTCCCTAAAAATATATAACTTTCGGTAAATATATTCAACTGAAATACAATTAATAATAAAACTTATTGTTTATAATATATTAGATTCTCTGAAAATAATCTCTCA